ATTCTTCTGATGGAACGAATATCTGTAGGGTCAAATATTCACTCTAGCATTTTCCTGAGATAGAGTAATGGCAAGGTCGAAAGCTCTAAGTGGAGGCAGTCCTTGGAGTTCCTTGAAGATATCTTTGTATTGGTCAAATAGTGCTTTTAATACGTTGTTTGAGATATCTAGATTTTGTACCTCATTTGGAACTTCCATTGCTAAAAACACAGTTTGGTCCACTTTTTTGCTTTAACTTCTTTTTTTTCAATGGTTGGCTCTTCACATGAGTCATTTTCATTCAGTAATATTAGTAAGTTCCCATATTGAAACTTCACTGTGGCTTGAATAAAGCCAAACACCATCGGACTGAATCGCTTCATCTAGTCGATCCATAAGATCATGTCTTATCCATCCAATGAAATTATGCGGAAATTGTAGGTAAACTTGTAAACTTGTAAACTTGTATCCTTGCATAGTTCATGCCACTTTAATAATTGTGGATTTTTAAGATAATTGTCATGGAGCAAGTAAGAAATTGATCTGATCTAGCTCAAATGTTCTACCAATATGCGCCTATAAATCTAGATATTTTCAGAGAAGGCTAGCACAAACGTTTTGAGATAGGATTATAATACTGAGTTTGTGACAAATTGAAAGTTCAATGAGTATTAATTATCCCAGTGATATTAGTAGGTACTCATATTTACCATGATAAGTATATGATGCGAAACCTAGAATCAATAAATGCAATCCAAAATCCACACATACAATTTAACATGTAAAACTTAAATCCTTAAATAAACTCTCCCTGCTTAATCCATAATAAATTTAAGATTGCAAATTAAGATAATTGGAAAACAAGAAAAACAATTAATAAGACATTACAAGATTACCTCGATAAGTAGAATCAATTCTTAACTCAATAAGACAGTTGAAGAAACTTCTCCAAAGAGTACTCATAATAGCTGAAAGCGAAAGCTTGAAAATATTTGAAATTTTATTCACTTGAATTAATGTGTTTACAACTAAAGGAATAAGGTCTTTATATAGGCATAAACTTTACTAATTTGAGTAAAAATCAGAAACTAAATCCTAAGAAAACTCTAAGTACATTCTTATTTAGATTCTAATTTAAAAATTAAATTAAAAACTCATAAACATAAAAGAAATAAAACTCTTTTCTCTTGAATGGCATAAGATTCCTTCAAGGGTTGTGCTTGCCTTGTCTTATTCGGATTGGGATTTTATTATTTAATGAGTTTTTTATGTAAACTTTGTGTTGGAACGAATAAATTCCAGCCATGTTTGAGTAGAAAACCAACTCCTTTTTCTTGTGGAATTTGGCTAAGTGTAGGAAATATAATCCTTCGAGCTCTCACACTTCAAACATGATTCCAAATCCCTTTAAAATATTAATTTATGAAGAGGAATCCGATTAAGACTCTCGCAAGATTGACTTCAAATTTATTGAGGAAACTCATACACAAATCCTATTTGAAATAGGACTCATAAAATCGATTTCTACCATGAGATGAAGAAGAGTGTAATTCTGGTCAAGACTTGTAATAATTGAATTCTTCCTCTCTTATCTTGTTAACTCTCAGTTTTGATGATATAGATCTTTTGAAACCTAGCCGTACTTGGTAGGATAAGGATTCTTGATTCCTTATGAGATTTACTTGAAGTTGAAAACCATTCATGAAGAGAGTTGTTTTCGGCCAAGGTTGTGGAAGAATAAATAATCAAGTGTACAAGATTTTTAGGACTCTTATTATTTACATGATTAACATATCTTAGAAGAAAGGAATTTTCAGTTATGACTCTTCCAAGAAGAGTAGACGGCTTCCTCATGAGAAATACTTGAGACTCCATGATTGGAAGGACTCTTTTGGCCTTTTGCTTGTAATCATCTTGGTCATGAGATCTTAGTGTGAGTTTCTCCCCCTTTACTCTCGCATCACTTTAGAATGCCATTTTCCTGGTATATGCCTGGTGCATCCAAATTTGATACTAATTCAAGCTTACATCCAATTGGGTGGAAAGGAGATAACTATAACTCTGCCAGTAGCTCATGGATGACAGGAATCAAAAACTTATCGTTAAGTATATTGTTGTTTAATGAATGATATTCAACACAAGTTGCCATGTGTCATTGACTTTGTTACCAATAGTAGTGGTGATGAGAAGGGTGATTGGCAGGGTCGATAATCCTTTGCTGAAGCATCTCATATACTTGTTTTTTTATTTTTTTCCTTTTGGAGATGTGGGTATCAATAAGGTTGAACTACTGTACGTCTTATGTCTTCCTCCATTCAAAAATCTTGTTTTATTGGACTCTCTGTGATGGTAAACCCCATGAGATTCAAAGAGAGATTCAAACTCTACCAATAGGCATTATAATTCAAGTTAAATATTCAGCTCTACCGAAATGGTGGAGATTGTGGTTGACCTATGGCCCCTATACTCCTTGGTGATGGACTTTTCACCCTTGCTGGAAGGACATACTCATTGCTGTGAAATCCCAAAAAATAATGCCTAAACTTTTGATCCAGTTGACCCCAGGGCTACTTGAAATCCTTTGGCACAAAGAGATCTATGTAGAAATAATGTTTTGTCAAGAAATAAGGGAATGTTGGAACAGGTTGGCTATATATTTCAAGAACTACCATGATGGGTGGAAGAAGAAATAGATTTTCAAATTTCTGTTAGGATTAGTTCACTGTTTACTGTTAGGGTTAATTGCTGTCCAAGTTTTTTCCTTTTTAATTTCGGTTGTGGCTGGGACAGATAGCACTACAGGACAGGCATGCTGCATATACACAGCTGTCTCAGTACAGTTTATATACCATTACTACAAACAGTGTCTTGCAGTACCTTCTATATATATGTGTAGGGATTTAAACAAGCAAACGAGAACAGTCATATAATATTTCATTATTTCCTCACTCATTCTATCCTCTTCTTCTTCTTCTAGCCCTCTACGCTCTCTTCATTTAATCTCCCTATTTCTTTTCTTCCTTAACCCTTACCTCGGTTCAACTGCTAATGAGTCAGTGTCTTGACATGTATCTGTTCCCCATTGGCTACCATGAGCCTAAACATTCTTTTGGCTCCTTATGAAGGCCTAAAGCCAATTTTGGGTTGATGGAAGTGTGTGCTACCTGAGCTTCCCAAGATGAGATCAGGCCTCACTCTTCATTATGGCTTGAATCTTCATTGTTTGAGCAAGGTTTGTCACAATAATTGCATGTAAGAGAAATCTTTGGATCATAGTCATTTCAGTGAACAAATACTAGTGTCAGACCGGCATCAGGGTCTTCATCAAGGTATAGGCAAAATAATATCTTACATGAATAACACAACATGCTCATTACAATTAAAAACACAACCCCCTTTACGACTATTTTCCATCTCGGAGTTGTTTAGCTGCTTATGGAATTATGCCTTACAAGAGGACATAGGCTGTCCTGTAGTAAAAAATTCATGGATTGTTGTCTCCTCTTTGCTCATGGAGTCTAGGTAGACTCCTGCATGACACTAAAAAACCTTAATTTCTTTCTTTGATGTTAAAGATCTAGCTTGTGCTAATAATTTCTCAAACTTTCCCTAATATTCTTTCACAAGACTTTTTTGTTGTAGCTTGGAATAATTTTCCTAGCTTGTTATTGAACATCGACCCACCAAATTTCAAGTTACAATGCTCCCTAAAGGTTGGCCAATTTGAAGTCAATCTTGTTCAAGATTCGAAAACTAGAGTTGAGCATCATCCTCCAGGTTAAATGACGCAAGACTCATTTTCTCATCCTCCATGTCTTTTGGTACAGAAAGAAGTTATTTCACCTCCTTAGCCTATTAAGGAGATTAGTCTCATTGTCAAATCGCGAGAAATTGAGTTTGAAAAAGTGGAAATATAGCCCTTTTTGTGTCAGTATTTTCAACTTTATGTTTGCTTTTCCTTGATGTATGATGGATACTATCCTCAGATGTGGTATTAGAGTTGTGTATGGGTCCTGATAGCACTATGGACTATGACGCGAGTTGTTTGGTCAGCTCTAGTTTTTGGCTTCTAGGTCAACACGGTCCAACCTTTCCTCACGCTCATGGATCCAGTTTTCATGGTACATCTGCGTGAAATCGTTGAATTGGTATTGAAACATCTTGAACTCACCCATAGAACCATGTTCTAGTACCAATTTGATATAGTCTCCATTCTAGGATTGCACATGGATTGCGTCAAGGAGAATCATGGAACAAGCTTGATGCCTTTTTCCTGGACTTTTTATTTCCTGCCTATCTTTAGTTCATATTCTATTACTTGTTAAAGAAAACTCATTGACAGCCTGGAATTCATGTAACCTGCATACATATTTATAGGATAGCTCTAGAATTGTTTCCTATTTTAACAAACGCAAGAACCTCCCAAGGAAAAATTTTCCTAATCATGATAATTTCCTATTTCATTCAGAAGTTTTGACTAAGTAAAACTATTGAGCAAACTTCTAATGTTGAAACTTTTCAGTATAAAATTTCCTATTTTATTCTAAATTCTTAATTAAACAAAACTATGAGGAAGCTTCTACACCATAATGACAGCCTGGAATAATTCTATCTTCTTGCTCTTTCTATGGGTCCTACCACTGTACTGGATCCTTTGAACCAGTCCCTGATTGGGTGAGACAGGTCTGCCTGGCCTTGATAACATGAGACTTCTATGCATGGGCAATGGAATCAGCTGTTAGTTTTGTGCTCGTGGAGTCATCCATCTGTGGAAATTATGTGCATTTGACATCTATTATTTGTCTTTATTTTATAACCTTATAGATTAGTGGTTAGTTTGCTCGCATATTTGGGTGGTCTAATAGCTGAAATTGATAATCTGAAAACATTTATTTGTGATGATGGTACAAAACCTGCAAGATGAATTAGATAATTATTGTACTCTGTAATCTGTTTCTTTTAAAAACTTTAGCATTGTTGTATCATATTTGATGCATTCTAATCCAGTCACCTGCGTGTAGGTGGTCACTTGGTGCTATAATGTACGAAATGCTAGTTGGTTATCCCCCATTTTACTCGGATGATCCTGTGACGACATGCAGAAAGGTTATGACTGCTACTATTTGATTGGTGTATTCTTTTGATTTGAATAATCAGTTGTTACATGAGTATTTGTTTTAAGCTGTATATCCTAAAATCCAATTTAGTCTCTCTATATTATCAAGTCAAAAGTTTAGCCTGCTCTGCATTCCTATCTGATGAGCACAGCTGTGTTTTTAAGTAGCATCAGATGAGAATAACTTAAATCAACATCCTTATGAGAGTAATGTGGTCCAGTGTCTTATTATTACAGAATATTCTAAAAAGCTTGTCCAGGTTTTTCTACAGAGGATTTATATTTTATGTATTCCTTTGACACATTGATCCATGTCAGATTGTTCATTGGAGACATTACTTGAAATTTCCAGAGGAGGCAAGGCTGACTCCTGAAGCAAAGGATCTGATTTGTCGGTTGCTTTGCGATGTTGAACATAGACTTGGTACTATGGGGGCAGGCCAAATTAAAGTAAATTTTTCTATATGCTAATCATTTTATTCCCATATCCTCTGTTCTTCTTTAATCTTTTTGTTTCTATGCACATTTTTGCACTGAATATAACTAGGTTCATCCTTGGTTCAAAGATGTTGTATGGGACAAACTCTATGAAATAGAGGCAGCATTCAAACCACAGGTCAACGGGGAACTTGATACTCAAAATTTTATGAAATTTGATGAGGTAAGGTGTTAGAGATAGGAGTACTTGCTGCAGTTTTTGCTTTTCATGCTGAAAATGGCTTTTGATTTTATAGTTCAATTAACTTGAATTGAAGGAAAACTACTGCTAGCAGGCTTAAGTCTATGCTATAGAAGGTTCTCTTGGAAACCAACGATTAAATCCCTTTCATCTAGAATGTCAAAATTAGATTCTGGGGTGGATGCTTATTATCATTTTGTGCTAGCTTATCTGACAAAGGGAAAAGAATAATGCCTGTGGAAAACTGGGATTTAGTACCTCGTTTTAGGGATTATTTATTAAGATTTAGATTGATCTCTTTCCTATAATAAATGGATATGATCTTTTTCCTAGAATAAAGGAATATGTGTAGTATCTTATCTTTTCCCTATTTTTCTGATTCTATCCCTTGATTTATGGAAGAAATTCTTTTCTTCCTTGCTATTTATGTGTGTTCAATTCAAGCCAGAAAAGTAATAAGAATCAACGAGAAATTCATTCTCTATATGGTGTCACAGCAGTTTCTGAGCCCTTAAAACTCTTTTCCATGACCAAGTACAGTATTACCACGGAAAAGCAAACCACATCTTCATCATAGGTGATTTCGGGTTCTGAAGCTGTTGTTACCAACAATCATGGTGGATCAGACCAGTTCCTCTCCCCATTAAAGGACATAAGTTGAATGTGAACAACTACCTGTAGTGGTTACAATCTATCATGATGTACGTTTTTGGAATCGGAAAAGATAAGTAAAGAAAATTGTTCTCGTTGTGTAAAGAAACTTACATCATGATATATAGTAGAAGCAAAACAAACGAAAACTAACATTCCATCCTAATGTTGGAAAGTTTCCTATTGACTAAGAAATAAATGTGTGAATATGGTAGTCATACCATATTTTCTCATTCAAATATTTAACTGTTTCCAAATATACTAACATAATTCCTAGTACTATTACTTTACTAAAATAGAATTCCACATGCACTAATCATCTTATTTATAATTTTGTTTCTTATGGAGGGTTATCACCCATTTTTCATGCTTTTTGATAATCTTGACAAAATACAGATTCCAAGTTGAATACATAAAGCTCTTAATGTACCAGAATGGAAGGAGATCATTAGGGAACAAATTCATGCTCTGGAAAAGAATGGGCATTAGATGATGACTGAGTTACCATCAGGAAAATGACCTGTTGGCTACGGGTGGATTTTCACAGTCAAACATAATACCGATGGCAGTATCAATAGAATTAAAGTGAAACTAGTAGCTAAGAGATTCAATCAATCTTATGGATTGACTATCAAGTGACTTTTGTCCTGGTAGCCAAACTCAATGTAAGTTGAGTATTGTTGTTGTCTGCTTCCAACCAAGACTGGAAGTTGTATCAGCTAGATGTGAAAAAAAAAAATTTCTCAACGGAGATCTAGAAGAAAAAGTTTATATGGAAATACTCCTCAGGTTTGAGAACCCGAACACCACTAATAAAGTCTGCAAATTATCATTATATGGATTTAACCTGTTGCATAGAATATGGTTTGGCAGGTTGAGTTGAGCAATAAAGAAGATTGGGTATGATCAGTATTAGATAGACCACTCTGTTTATTAAACATTCATCCACAGGAAAAAAGGCAATTTTCACTGTGCATGTTGACAATATCATTCTGATCAGAGACCATAATGAAGACATACTCGAGCTTAAAAGGTTTTTAGCCAAAAAGTTATAAATCAAAGATTTTAGGCAATCTCAAGTAATTTCTTAGCGTGGAAGTAGCATGGTTAAAGAAAGGAATTTCAATTTAACAATGAAATATGTGTTAAATCTCTTGAAAGAAACAGGAATTCTCTGATGTTAGTCAATTGACATTCCTAAGGATCCCAACTCAAAACTGGGTAGTAAGGATGATAGTTCACTGGTTGGCAAAGAGAAGTATTGAAAACTGGTTGGAAAGCACATTTATCTTTCGTATATCATACCTGATATCAGCTTAGCTAGCAGTATGGTAAGCAAATAAATGAATAATCCAACAGAAGAAAACATGGAAGCTGTATATAGGATCATAAGATATTTAAGGATGATAAGGGATCAAGGATTATTCTTCAAAAAGACTGCAAACAAGTAAGATGAGATCTTCACTAATTCAGATAGGGCAGGGTATGAATCTTGTAGATGATCTACCTTAGAATACTGCACATATATTTGGGGAAATTTGGTGACTTGCAAAGCAAGAAGCAATTGGTGGTGTCTCGAAGCAGCATAGAAGCAGAATTCATAGCACATAAGTAATCACTGCATATGTGAAGGAATATGGCTGAAGAGGGTACTTGATGAGCTGAGAATACCAATCCTAGGAAAATGTTATGTGATAAGCAATTTGCAATAAGTATAGCAAAGAACCCAGTGCATCATGATAAGACAAAACATATGAAGATTGTAGGCACTTTGTTGAGAAAAAGACAGAGACTAAAATGATATTGCTCCAGTGCATCCCAACCAACCAACAGATTACAGGCATCCTAAATAAGGTTGTACCTAGAAAGACATTTGAGCAACTCAATTGCAAGCTAGGTTTACTCAACATCAACAAACTTTAACTTGAGGGGGGAGCATGGAAAACCAGGATTTTGTACCCTACTTTTATGTATTAGTTATTGAGCTCTAAATTGATCTTTTTCTTAGAATAGAAGGATAAGATCTTTTTCCTAGAACAAAAGGATATGGGTATTATCTTACCTGTTCCCTATTTTTCCGATTCTATATCCCTTGATTTATGGAAGTGATTCTTCTCTTCTTTGCTATTTATATTGTTCAATTTGAGCAGAAAAGTAGTAAGAATTAATGAGAGATTCGCTCTCAAACTTCTTTAAAGATCATTCTACATGCTGTTGAAAGCTGATTTAGAATATGGTCTTCTTTTCTTTGTAACTAAGACTTCTACTATGAGGTGGAGGGACTCTGGTCATTCTACCAGGAGGGTGATAGGTGCTCTATGGAGTGTTTTCTTCTTTGCTAAAGCTTTTGGTGTTAATGAGTCAGCATTTTATACATTGTTAAAAAATTGTTCGTGGGTAACTATTTCTATCTTGATAGTTCTCTCTTATGCATAAACAATATGTTTCATTCCTTTTACAAGCTTTATATGCTTAAACCATTGATAAGGTAGGCGTTATTGGTGCTTAAGATTAGGATTTCATGATCAAGTATAGATGCACCGAAGCTTGTCTCTGTTTGAATAATTGAGTACAAAATTAGTATGGTGAAATTTCAGGCATTCATGATTTTCTTAAATGTATATGTGGATGGTACTAATCCTCGTCCCTAGCTCTAAGTTTTACGTATGTGCTTTGTTTGTGAAATATATGGGATTAATGTCTTTAATGTATGAATTCGGTACAGCACTTTTTCTGTATTGCCTGTAATTTAATTGTTTTATTTTGCCAAAGGTGGAACCTCCGAGACCAGGACGAACTGGATCTGGAGCAATGAGGAAGGTATAGAGCTCTCCTCAATCTATTTAGGTTTCAGTAACTTGCTGTTACTGTTTCTATTGTGAATATCTATCGTTTAAGTTAAAAAAAGGTTTCTCATGGGAATTGACCTTTCAGTCACTTGTCATTTATCATTATGCAAGTAATTAAGCTTCCTTTTCTTTGCTTAAGTTGGTGTCGGTAATTGGTACTTTTCTTGCTGTCATGATTATGCAAGTAACTAGGTTTCCTTAGGTGTTAGTAATTAGTATATCTCTTATTCCTTGCTTGGTTAAAGATTTATTTCTTTTTGCAGATGTTGACTTCTCAAGATCTTAGTTTTGTCGGCTACACGTACAAAAATTTTGATGCTGTCAAAGGTTCGCATCATTCAATTGGTACAAAAATTTCATTCCATTAGTTTTGAGCAATTTGTCTCAAAAGAAGTAGTCTGAGAAATGTTCTGCTTCCTCTGTTATTTGATTTGTTTATAAAGCATATATTAGCCGAGGATATTTATCATGATGCATTTACGAATCTTAAATACATTTAGCCCCCTTAAGTTTACGTAAAACAAGGCTATTGGGTCCTCCAGTTAGAAATGCTTATTTGCATTTTTGAAACATGTACGAAGTTAGAGCAAAATTTGGAAAAAAAAAAGAAAAACAAGAAAAGAAAAGAGACAGAATATCTTCCAAACTGGTCATTTTTAAATAGTGGATTAAACTAGTTACCTCAAAAGCTTAATTTGATAGGAACTGACACAATCTATCATTTATATGTTAACAAACACCTCCTCACATGCAAGCAGAAACTTTTAAGCTTAGTAGGTGGACTAGAACTTAAAGAAATCATGAAGGCCCGGAAGGGTGTAAGGGAATGTAAGCTGAATAGTTGCACAAATAATAGCAGAGAGGATGAGGTTCACACAATATGAATACAGGACTTTTGGCTTCAATATTATCTTTTAATAATAAAGTGAATCGATTATCTCAAAAGTTTAAGTTGATATGAGTAGACATAATCTATTATTTATCTTTTAACAATGTCATTACTTATGAAATTTGACAATTTAATTTGTGCAGGAGTTGAACTAACTTTAAAAAGTTTTCTAAATATTAATATAACTTGAATTTGTTTGTTTATGTAATTTCATCGGCTTTAACAACAACTTCAAAAGTTCTGGGAGTATGAAATTTTTTTATTTCTCTTTTTAAATTAATGAAACAACTAAGTTTTAGACAGAAATTTTGTGATGCCCTTTCCCTGAACAAAAATTATATGATTCATATCTATATATAAAGGCTGAAATGACTTAGTATTAGTAACTTGAGTTTAAAATTAGGAGAGAGTTAATTTAGTTTAAAAAGTTACCAAGTTTGCTGTATTTTTCCAGTAAACTGAAGGAAAAGTTTGTAATTATTTTGCAGTTTTTTATTATCTTACTTCCTTAAATACATTTATATATAATTCAATTGATTATGTCTTATTATTGTTCAAGATATGCGGATAGTTGTCAATTTGAAATTATTGCTTTTTAATTAAATGATGATCGAGAGAATAAAGAGAAGAAAAGATGTGTACGAACGACACATGCTGCAACTGTTTTTTCTTAAGTTGCTTATCAATCATTATTTCATTTGGGAAGATTTCTGCATGACCTTCTCTGGTGGTTGGGGAATGCTTAACAGATGCGGCCTCTGAGGGGCATGCCAAACCAAGTGGCATTACCTCCACAATCGAATCTTACCTCCCATTTTAATGATGATTAGGGTGCCACATTTGAATCCATTTGGCATGTAAAAATATTTTTTTTATTTTTTTAATAATGTGTAGTAATTCTAAATAAAACAATGTTTAAAAAATAAAAGTAAAAATACATGACTTTTGATAAAATATTATTTTTTGTTTTTACTTAAGAACGTATGTACACATGCTAATATAATGCATCACATATAAAAATGTGTGGAAAAGATAGAAAATAGTTTCATATACTAAATGGAGGCTTTAATCTCTTACTGCTTTTCTCTATTGCCACTTTGCGGACTCCCTAAGGTATAAACAGTTGTAACTGGAATCTTATGTAAACTGTATTTTATTTATTTTTTTTCTGGTACTAGATTTGTTTCCTGTTATAGCTGATATAGAAAATTTCACATTTTCTTTTCAACAATTGCAGATATAAAGAGATGCACATCTCCGAAGTGGTCATCAATGGACTCTTCACACAGTAATATTTTCCCATTCTTAAATATGCATCAATAGTCGATTTAGATATTACATGTCGAGTAGTCTTTACTGATTTATGGTTCATTCTTCAAGGTGATTCTGTGGTGGAATATTCTAAATATTCAGTAGATGATATAGAAGCCCAGATACAGCAATCATCAGGGGATGCTATGTCACAGTGAGGAGTGCACAAACACTCAGTAAAAGTGCCACGGCAATGATGTTGGTGTTACCTGCTTATTTCAGTCAGGTTCTACCATAATCTGGATGCCAGTGATGTTATCTGCTGCACGCTGCAAAAAATTTCTAACTGTACAGAAATATTGGAGAACTTCTGGAAGGCACTTGGTTGAGCGACAACACTTGGTAACTGTAAGCTTTCTAACCATTTAGACTATACAATATATAGAGGTGCTGATTACCCAGATTAGCAAGCCAAATATATGCCCCCAATGGTGGCAGTTTTTGGCCTTTGAAAAAAATCTTCTTGTTAGTTTAGGGAACTGGAAAGTGCTTCAAAACGATATTAACGACAGTGACTTTGCTAAAGGATATGGCCTGATCCTTCAAGAGTTTGGAGAGCGAAGCCCAGAAATACAAGTTTTTAAGCTTCAAATAATATATGTATTTGCTTTTTGGAGCATCACTTTATTCTAGCCCAGATCCTTATTTGTAGGTGGAAAGGGGATGAACTGTGTACTTGGATATACATACATGTTTAATGGAGCATTTTTGAGTTCAAGCAAAGTTTAAAGATCTAGTTTGAGGTTCTTTTTTGTCTCTGACTCTGCCTGAACAATGTTAGTAGGTTCAAATGATTGAAAAATGACTTATGAAAGTTTGTGCATATTTGAGGCAGCAAAATTGATTTTTTTTTATTTAGTTAATTTTCAATTAAATGATTTTATCATATACTTGCATGATTTGATGACGTCAAATCTTACACTGGATTTTAAACTTGGACTAAAAATAAAGCATGCCATATCTATTTTAACAGTACATCATTATAAGTTTAAAATCAAACTTTAGATGACATATTTTTATGCCTTTGCTGTAGCCTCACAAGACGACTTGTTTTTGTCTTGTTCAACTTCTAACCCGGAGAAAGGTGAACATTTATGTATGTATAAGGAGGGTCAATGAGTTTTCAATTTACATGGTTACAAGTAGAACACACTAATCAAATCCAAAAAAATCCTAATATCTTTAATATTTGCACTTTTCGAATCATGCAGCTACTTAAACTAGAAGCCAATTAAAATAGTAAAAAAGACAAGTACCGTGATAGCTATTGGATTAAAAAGAACTCGTATTAATAGAATGAAACAACTAAAAGCAAAAGGAATTTCTTGTACAAAACTGGGCTGCTGCTCAACGAGTTTTCAATTTACATGGTTACAAGTATAACACACTTATCAAATCCAAAAAACCATAATACCTCTAACATTTGCGCTTTTCAAATCATGCAGCTACTTAAACTACAAGCCAATTAAAATAGTAAAAAGGACAGGTACCGTGATAGCTATTAGATTAAAAAGAACTCGTATTAATAGAATGAAACAACTAAAAGCAAAAGGAATTTCTTGTACAAAATTGGGCTGCTGCTTAACTAGTTGGGATATCTGAAGTCTTATCATTTTAAACTCACGTAATATGTGTGATATCTTAATTTTGTTCAAATAAAATCAAACAATTAATTAGGTAAAAATTTATATTAATGATAATAATAATACAACAATAACAATAATAATAATAATGACAAAATTTGATTAGATAACTTAGCCCCCAAAAAAAAAACGAATTGATTATCATTATAGAATTATCATTGTTCTAATTATTATCATTAGTATTGTCTCATTTATTTTTATTTTAAAAGAATAAAAAAGACACATTATTATTCTAGCGCAAGTGTTATACTCCCTGCTAAGCTTAAATTTATCAGAGGATAACTTTGATTTAACTAGTATTCTGAAGTGTGTTGAAAGTTTTTACCAGTTTCTATAAGTTTAGGCATGGTTAACAATAAGTTCATACTTAAATCAAATAATAATTGAACTTTAGAGATGTCTATCGCATCATTTTGATTTGATTATTTGACTACTCATTTTTATAAGGACTACCATGGTCGTCTTCATGTTTGATGAAACATTCATGTTAGAAATTTTTTTGGATTTACTCACTTTTTGGCATACTTTTACTTGATTCTATAGGGCCATTTAATCCACATTTGATTATTAGGTGTAACAACCCACATTTTTACAAGTAAATATGGTTGTTGTCTTTCATTCATCCATCGTAATAAATATTACCATCCATATATATATATATATATTCCTCTCATAAATTTTATATTCTTAATTATTTTTTTCCCCGAAAGCGCAACCTATCCAAATGTCCAACAAAAGAGAAATTTCTCTTGCTGGCCCGTGGCCTAGTGGGCTTCTGCAAAGACCCCTCGGCATGATTTCATGCCTGCTGGGTCAGCATGGCCCGCTGGCCTGTTGCATAAAGCAACAAACCCAAGGAGCATGGCTAATGTGCAGTGGGCACATCCACGCACATCCCTGCGCGCATGGTCCTGGAAACAGTGTGTCCGCACCCGCGCACGGCTCTACTGACATTCAGTGAATGCCTGGCCGAGCCTCTCAACCGTCCTGCACAACACCTGCTTGGCAGCCTTGTGTCAAGGGCGTTTCCCAACACTTTTGAGTGCCTAAAAATCACCCTTTTTTTGTTTAACACGGCAGAGCTGTGTGCACCGCTCTGTGACGCATTGGTGCCTGGCACGCTTGATAGAAGCAATTGGGTTACTGTCAACGTCCCATTCCCCATTTCTTTCTTCTTTTTTTTTTTTTGTTTGATAAATTGCCCATCATTTCATCTGTCAACAAAATTAATATTCATAACATCAAAAATAATCCAAAAACAGATAATGCAAATATTAAAATATGATCATGAACTCACTCACCCTTTTTCCTTTAAAAGTTGCACTTTACTTTGAAATTTCAAAGAGGTTTATAAAATGCAAAACATCTGCATATACTGAACTATTACCCATCTTACCTCAAAGGAAGATCACAATCTGGTCTCAAAAGCACGAAAGGAATGATTCTAATATGGAAAATTGTTCTACAACTTGCCTAAGCAGTGTTGTAGAACCAAAAATGTATTTTTTTTTCTTAGATTTTGGATTTTCAAGAGCTATTTGGCTTCAACAATTGATTCCTAATCCTCTTACCATTTAATTTAACTAAAACCTACTTAAAATTGTAAAAACAGATTGAAGACAGAAACTAAATTTGACAGAAGAATAGCAGGTTTACCTACACAGTTCACGGGTGGAAAAGTAGCAGCAAAAAGAATTTCAAATTGCAGCTTGCTACAATTTCAAGGTTTGAGTTGTCAAATTGATACTTAGATACTAAAGGATTAAAAGAAAAATAAGTTGTAAAGAAAAGGAACTTACATAAATCAGAACAAAAGAGAATACGCACCAGACCTTCCCTTCGGTACAGGATTGTCTTCTTCACTCTGCATTCTTCCTATTTCTCTCTAACCAGAACAAAAGAGAATACGCACCAGACCTTCCCTTCGGTACAGGATTGTCTTCTTCACTCTGCATTCTTCCTATTTCTCTCTAACCACTTTGTTTTCTTCATTTTGTTTTTTTTTTTAGTTGAATGAAGAAGAAGAATTTCAATTGGAGAGTTCTAAATGGGGGTTTTTGGATCAATCCTAACCACACATTTTCATTTAGCACATCCTCACCATTGCTGCATAAAAATGGCCGACAACAAGGGAAGAGGGAAGCTGAAACTGTGCCAACTGCCTAGACAGCTGGGTTCCCTCTGCCAATGGCCCAAACGACTTTTTAAAGGCTAGGTGAGTGGTATTTTAAAAATATCTATATTCCAATAAAAACCAAAAAAGTATTTTAAAAAATTAAAAAAAAAAAAAAACCAATTCAGATCCAAAACAAATCAAATATGAGCACTACAATTCAATACCCTACGGTTTTGACCGAAGCAATTTTGGTTCCCTCAAATCTAGACTACCCACATTATATACATAAAACACTATACTCGAGTGCAACCTTGGTCCCGCAGTTACTTGACGGAAGAAACTATTGCGCTTGGGCTAGATCCATGCCACATGCTTTGAGTGTTCAAAATAAATTAGGGTCCAAAAATGAAACCCTAACTGAACTAAAGGATCTGAGTGACCTCAAACAGAAGTATGCTCAATAAAATGTCTTGAAATGTCATAGAACACCGGACAGTCAAAAGGTCAAAAGCCTAATAGTGAGGAGCATCCTGTTCCCACCAAAGAGTAATACAATCAGTTAATGAATTTCATTCAGCATAAACATTCATTAGTCAACATGGTTAAGTCTTCCTTAGGGTCCTCACAAGAATCGAGTCTGGTAGGATTTTGGGATATGTATTTATGCTCTAACATTCACTAATAAGAATCATGTGAAAAACATACATGTTACTTGTATAATTGACAATGGAGCATCTAATCACATTATTCACACACCACAATTATATATTGAAATTACATCAAACAGCATTTCCAAGGTTACATTACGTAATGGTGAAAAAAAATAATGTATCACATGTTGGAAAGGTCAAGTTAGGTGATGAAATAATTCTCAATAACGTGTTGTGTGTGTTGTCATTTAATTTAAATTTAATTTATGTAATAAGGCTAACACAAGATTATGAATGTTTGATTTTTTCACAAAAATACCGTGTTATCCAAAACCTTATTACCTGAAAAACGATTAGAGTGAGGGGAATTAAGGATGGATTATATCAATTTAATTCCATCATACCATTAAGAGAAATAACCAAACCAGCCTTCACAAGTACAACCTTTTCAGGTCCCAAAGGAACGCAACAAATTGATGTATGGCATTACAGACTTAGACATCTTTCACAGTCTAAATCAATTCTTCAATCAAATGTAAAATCATATAATAATAAGCTTTATCATGTTTGCTCACTAGCTAAGATGCACAAACTTACATTTGATGATAGTAGCAGTAGAGCTTTCAAATATTTTGATCTAATTCATTGTGATATTTACGAATCCTGTAATGAGACATCTTATGATGGTTATAAGTATTTCTTATCAATTCTCAATGACCATAGTAGATATAGTTAGGTATATTTGATGAAAAACAAGGCGAAGATTAGCGTACACTTGCAATATTTTTGTGCATTTGTTGAAACTCAATTTGATAGAAAGGTGAAAGTAATTAAGAGTCACAATGGTAAAGGATTCGAGATGAAGAGATTTTATGTTGAGAAAGGGATCTTACATCAAACCTTCTATATGGAGACACCAGAACAAAATGGAAGAATTGAAAGGAATCATCAACATATTCTCAATATAGCTAGAGTGCTAAAATTCCAAAGTGGTTTGGACATAAGGTATTGGAGCGATTTTATATCAACTGTTATATATCTTATTAATAGGATTCCTACACCAGTTCTAAATAACAAAACTCCCTTTAAAATACTGTAAGGGAAACCACCAAGATTTTTGGATGTTTAGCCTTAACGCCCACCTTAACTGAAAATAGACACAAGTTTGATGCAAGGAGTAGGAAATGCGTATTTCTGGGATTCTCTTTTACTACAAAGGGATACAAGTTGCAGGATACTGAGACAAGTGATATTATCATTTTTAGAAATGTTATATTTCATAAGAATGTGTTTACTTATAGGGATAGAGGTTGGACGAAGACATCAAAAAGCTTTTACAGAATTAACGCATGGATCCATACCCACAACAAGAATGGACATTATATTAGATATTGAAGAGGTGATCTAAGAAGGCTAAAAGAAATTTTAGGAAGAGTTATGGAAATGCATAATCAAATACAAGGAGAAATAACAACTAGAGAAATAGAAAGTTAGGGGCAGGACATTGAACAAGTTGTCCTTGAATAAGTTGCCACTAATGAGACATCAACTTGAAGAAAACTACTAGACTAAGGAAGACACCCGCGTACTTAAAGGATTATGTGTGTGAGAAAATTAATGGACATGAAAGTGATGTCAAAGGTACAAATAGAGAAGGCTCTCAATCAAATGGAGCCATTCCCATAGCAAGCACTTTGGGTACTCCAAGATTAAGGGGGGACACAAGAGATATGTCCTGACAGTAGCATCCTAAGAAGAACTTAACTCATTTAAAGAGGCAAACAAGGGTGACAATCGGTGCAAAGTAGTGCAATGTGAGCTAAAGGCATTAGAAGATAATAAAACTTGGAGGATTATGGATCTCCCTATGGAAAAAAAGGCTATTGGATACAAGTGGATTTACAAAGTGAAATTCAAAGGAGATGGTACCACTAAGAGACATAAAGCCAGACTCGTCACTAAGAGCTTGACCCAAAGAGAAGGTCTAGATTACCACGAGACCTTCTCCCCATTTGCCAAAATAGTTTCAGTAAGAATATTATTAGCTTTAGTAACAATCAAGGGATGGCTTCTTCAGCAACTGGACGTCAACAATGTCTTTTTGCATGGAAACTTAAAGGAAGAGTATATATGAACTGCCCCCAGGCATCCTAAAGGAGAGAAGGGAAAGTTTGTAAACTGCAAAAGGTGTTTATGAGCTTAAACGAGCATCTAGACAGTGGTACAACAAATTTTTTGAGTCTATTACTCAATAAGGTTTCAAGCAATCCAAGGCTAACTATAGTATATTCATAAAAGATAATGGTAAGAGTTTTATAACTTTACTTGTATATGTTGATGACATCATTGAGGCAAGTAATAATGAAGGTGCAATTAAAGAACTAAAGGTAATACTACTGGATAATAAGTTTAAAATTAAGAACTTAGGAAATTTAAAGTATTTTCTTGGAGTTGAAATTGCTAGGTCAAAGAGAGAAGTTCACATATATCAGAGGAAATATGTCTTGGACCTTTTAAAAGATACAGGAGTTCTAGGAAACAAAACTTCATTACTTCCCTTGGACCAAAATGTTAATTTCAAGAATGAATGAGTCAATCCTAAATCTGTGAATGAATAGAAGGTTGATTGAAAGGTTGATGTACCTCACATTAACTATGTTAGATCTTGTCTACTCTATTCAAGTGCTCAGCTAATTCATAGAGAGCCCTAGAGACTGTCATCTAAAGGTTGCATACAAGATTTTGAGGTATGTCAAAGGCACTCCAAATTAGGGGTTTATTTTACTCAAGTATATTTTAATTAAGACTAAAGGCTTACACTAACAGTGACTTGGCGAGATGCCCAAACATAAGAAAGTTTGTTACAAGATATTGTGTCATGTTCGGAAACTTGCTAGTGTCTTAGAAGTCTAAGAAACGAAAAATAGTTTCTAAATCTTCTATAGAGGCACAGTATAGAACTATGATTAGTGTATGCTATAACTTAACATGGATTAGGTACTTATCTAATGACCGTAAAGTATGTAACTTAACAACAACAGATTTGTATTGTGACAATAAAGCTTACATACATATGACTGTTAGCCCTATATTCTATGAAAAAACTAAACATATTTAAATAAATTACCACCTAGTTAGAGACAAGGTGCAGGAATGGAGTATTGTAACGAAACAT